CCATTCGGATGCAAACAGCAAGAGGCTTTTATTTTGATACACAGGTACCCGGGGCAAAAAGTCTTTCGGAAGACTTCCGCGCCCCCTAGGTAGAAAGCTGGGGTTTTTATAGGGTTTTAGAGGCAGAGGCACTGGTACAGAAACGAGAGGGCATGGTTACAGGGGGCTGATTGGTACGTTTACACGAGACCACAATTTGCGTCAAAGTTTGGCAGGGGCACCAAGATTCCAGGAGCTGGGTGGTCAAGGGGGGTAGGATGACCCCTTGACGTGGCCCGCCACCTGTTATTTTGTTTTTCCCTATCTTAGCTGAAACAGTCTCACAGATATCTATGAGAGTGATTAACACAAACTGTTTTTAGTATGACTGGGGCAGCCTGACCACAGATATCCCAAGTGGGTGACACAGCTAGGATTTCTCAGTAATTTTCCAGTTTCTCATCTGGCCTTCAGAGTTTTACAAAACAGTGGTGTCTCACAAAATGGCATTAGCTATGTTTAACTTAGTGTGAGGCTGGGGTCTTTCAACGGAAGGTATGGGGAGCTGCAGACGGAAGTAATTAATTGCAAGGCTTCTGCATTTTACATACACTGATACAGAGTTAACTCTAAGCTACAGAAGTAGAAAAAATGCACATAAAATCCAGATAAATCCCTAGAGCCGTCCCTAAAGAAAAACATGCACAAAGAAATACAGAGCCAAATCCGAAATACAAGTTAAAATGGAATTCTAAAAAAATTCTAAAAGAAGGCCTAATAAAGGGAAAAAGGAAAAAAAAAATTCAGAGGTCAAAGCAACAGCAAAATGATTAAGCTATCAGACCAAAATCCAGCCCCATCAATAGTTAAATATGTTCTCTAAACACACTTGGTAAAAGGCAGGTATTGCCAGACTAAAAGTAAGGCTCTGTGCTGGCTAATTTTGTGTCAACTCAACAGAAGCTGTAGTCATCTGAGAGAAGGGACCTCAATTAAGAAAATGCCCCCATAGGAGCAGACTGTTGGCAAGCCTGTGGGGCATTTTCTTAACTAGTAATTGATGGGGGAGGGCCCAGCCCATTGTGGGTAGTGCCTTCCCCAGGCTGGAATCCCCTGTGAGTAGTCCTGGGTTTGATAAGAAAGCAGGCTGAGCAAGCCTTGAGGAGCAAGCCAGTAAGCAGCACCCTTCCGTGACCTCTGCATCAGCACCTGCCTCCAGGTTCCTGCCCTGCTTGAGTTCCTGCCCTCACTGCTTTTGTTGATGAGTTGTTTCATGGAACTGTGAGTGAAATAAGCCCTTTCCTCCCCAACTTGCTTTTGATCATGGTGTTTCATCACAGGAATAGTAACCCTAGCTAAGACAGGCTCCATTATATGTTTTTGACAAACCCATGTGAAGTTTAAATGCAGATATAAAACAAAGGGTGATAATTAAATACCATATAAACATTAACCAAAAGAAAGCATACAGGACTAGAGAGCTGGCTCAGCAGTTGGGAGCACTAGCTACTCTTCCAGAGGTCCTGGGTTCAATTCCCCGGACCCATATGGCTCACAACTGTCTGTAACTCCAGTTCTGGGAGACATAATGCCCTCTTCTGAACTCTGCAGGCACCAAACATGCATGTGGTACACAGACACAAGTAGTCAAAAGACCCATGCCCATAAAATAAAAGAAAATAATTTTAAAGGCATGCTGAAGTTTATATTATTAGCAAATCAGGTGTTAGAACAAGGGCTGTTAGCAGGGAGAAGAGCACAGTACGTAATGGTAAAGGGTTAATTCTCCAAGAAGACAGAACAGTCATAATTGCTAATGTGCCAAAGGCCTGAAATAAAACTAGACAGGACTGCATTAAAGAGAGACAAACTTAGATTATAACTGACTTCAACACTTCTCTAGGGAACTGTTAGCATGAGCAGTCAGACTGGGCAAAAACCAAACCAAACCAAGTCAAAACGAAACACACCAGAAGACCCGTGCAACACTAAGCCCGAGGCATCTAACCGCTATTTGTAGAAGTCTCCACCGAGTCCGAGCAGACTGCACAGTCTTGGAGTGCATGAGGGATACTGAACACTAAGAGTAAGCCAGAAAGTAACCTTAACATTTTCGTGGAAAAGAGTAAACATCCAAGAGGCTGGGCCTCGAGATCAGGCAGATGCGCTCGCTGCCAACCCCGATAACCTGAGTTCAACCCCGGGAACCTAGGTGACATAAGCTGTCCTCTAACCTCTGCACCCACACAGCACCCACGCACCTATAGACATCCCCAGCGACCAACCGATCGACTTAATAAAATATAAAAGGAAAATAGAAATCTTACAAGCAATGTTCTCAGGCCGTAAGAGAATTCAACCAGAAATCAGTTAGAGAAAGACGCACCAGGCAGTGCTGAACACTTTAATCCCAGCACTTGGCAGGCAGATCTCTGTGAGTCTGAGGCTAGCCTGGTCTAAACCCTGTCTCAAAAATACAAATGTGTGTGTGTGTGGTGTGTGATATGGAGTGTGTGTGTGTGTGTGTGTGTGTGTGTGTGTGTATGTGTGTGGGGTGTGGGGGTTTGTGTAGTGTGTGTGTATTGTGTGTGTATGTGTTGTGTGTTTGGTCTGGGTGGTGTGTACGTGGTGTGGGTGGTGGCGGTGGTAGAATGACTGTGTCTGTGTGTGTGTGTGTGTGTGTGTGTTTGTGTGTGTGTAGACACCAGATATTTGTGAGTTAGTATTTAATGATATTGCTGGAACATTTTCCAAATATTTTCAGCAACACATCCCTGTGTATGAGGGTGTCCATTCCCTGCAGAGACCTTTCTTCATGTCCTGGGAGACAGATGGGGCACATGGAAGCTTTCTTTGGGGTACATGCCTTAGGAGGGGAGATGGGCATTGAGGGCAGAGTGTGGGATAGGCGGGTTAGCGGCTCTGCGGCACTGCAGGCTTCATCCCCTACTAAGGTAGCGTGCCCTCCCGGAGGCCTCTGGAGTGACTTCCTGGTTTCCCGTCCTGTTGGCATCACTTACCACATGCAATCTTGGCCGAGTTAGTGAACCTCCTGTGTCTTAATTTCATCTCCTGTGTGACGACAGTTGTACGTCACTGTTCGCTCTGCTTCGCCCGAGACGTCCTGGATTAAATGTGTTTTCCCGCTGTAATTATTAATAGTGCCCTACTTTGGGTGATAAATGATATGCTCAGTCTGATAGCAGAAGCGGTGTGCTGCAGTTTGTCGAGAGGTTTCAGACAGTGACAGGCAGCCAGGCTCAATCCATACTTGAGGGCCTGCTGCTGGCCAGGCGCTGTCTTGGGCAGAAGCCAGGGTGGGAAATAGGTCACTCAGTATACCCAGCTGCTAGCACAAGGGTGAATGCATGGGTTCTGGCACTCGGGCCCTCAGTGGGGATCTTGCTCTCGTGTGACTTTCCACAGGATGTTATGAGGATGGAGTTCTTTACTATTCGCAAAGCATGGGTCTCATACACACCAAGGTTGTGTAAATGTTTTCTGTTAAATAAAATAAACAGAACTTACCCTATGTTAGGTCATTGAATGCAGTGGTATACGAAACATTATTTGTACTTATACTGGAGGTTTTCCTGTTGGAAACTAATTAAAATTTTCCATTCTGGTTATTTTTCCAAAATAAGTAAGAACTCCTTGAACTGATAGCTCCCCTACGTCTAAAGACAAAAGACTACTAAGGACTTTTCAAGGCCGTGTTTACCTGCTTGTCTTTTAAAAACACACAAAAGATGGGGCTGGATAAGTAACTTAGTGGTACAAGTTCACTAGTATCCTGAAAGAAAGAAAGAAATCAGGGTAGTTCCACCATTCTTGTGACAGCCACAGAAAGCAAGCTCTGTTAACATTCTCTTTATCCTTTGGTTCTGTTGCTCTCCTTGTGGAGCTCCTGTCCTCTTCTGGTCTTTCTATCTCCCACTTCTTTCCTAAGATTTCCTGCACTCTGCCCAAAGTTTGGTTATGAGTCTCAGCATCTGCTTTGATACCCTTGCTGGGTAGAGCCCTTCAGCGGCCCTCTGTGGTAGGCTCCTGTCCTGTTTCCTGTTTTCTCCCTCTTCTGATGTCCATCCTGTTTGCCTTTCTGAGTGAGGATTGATCATCTTACCCAGGGCCCCCTTCTTGCTTAGCTTCTTTAGGTGTACAGATTTTAGTATGTTTATCCTATATTATATGTTTAATATCCACTTATAAGTGAGTATATACTATGTGTGTCTTTCTGCTTCTGGGATACCTCACTCAGGATGATCTTTTCTAGATCCCGCCATTTGCCACAAGGAGGGCAACAGAACCAAAGCATCTGGGCACAGGGGTCTTTTCTGAGACTGATGCTCCAACCAAGGACCATTCATGGATATACCATGCTCAGATGTAGCCCCTGGCAGCCTGGGTTCCCTGGTGAGGGGAACAGGGGCTGTCTCTGACATGAACTCAGTGGCTGGCTATTTGATCACCTCCCCCTGAGGGGGGAGCAGCCTTGCCAGGTCACAGAGGAGGACAATGCAGCCAGCCCTGATGAGACCTGGTAATCTAGGGTCTGATGGAAGGGGAGGAGGACCTCCCCTATCAGTGGACTTGGAGAGGGGCATGGGAGGGGATGAGGGAGGGAGGGCGGGATTGGGAGGGAATGAGGGAGGGGGCTGCAGCTGGGATACAAAGTGAATAAAGTATAATTAATATAAAAAATTAAAATTAAAAAAGAATTCTCTTTATAAGGACCAGGAGGCTCTTTTTAAGGTCACAGAGCTCTGCTCCTTTGATCCAGTTTGCCTCAGAGGACAGGTAGCAAGCCTCCATCAGGCCAGCACTGTAACAGGCCCCCAGGCCTTAGCACAACTTAGATGTCAAGTTGGAGGAGCCATTCTGACCTTAAAACCCACCACATAGGTCCCCAGCACCTGCCAAATGGGGAAAAGAGACTAGTCCATAGTTCCAGGATGCAGGAAA